TTTTTTTTTAAAGAATTTTGCAGAATTACGGGTACCTGGTAACATGTGGAGCAGTTAACTTGTCACAGGGAGCCGTGGTTGGTAGGTTGTTTATTTAAGGGACTCTGTAAAATGAGACCGAGAAATGCCCCGAGCTGGAGAAGAACCCCTGGTGCTTCTGCCCCCAGGTGCAGTGGTCCTGACTGGGACTGTCAGTCAGTGTCCTGTCAGCCGGCTCGTGGAGCCAAATGTTTCAGCCCCAGCGTAGTGTCTGCCAGGGTGACAGATACCACCTGCTGCAAACTATGCAGAAGTTCAGGCGGTTTTTCACCTTTTGCAGTAATTAACTGCTGGAATTACCAAATTTTGGCATACTATCGTTCCTTCTGTCCCGCAGTGTTGTTTGCTGTGATACCACGCCGACCCAGCACTGCTGGATCGAGAGCTGTGCGCACGAATGTCTTCCTCTGCTGTTTCAGGCCGCAGGATGTTTTATGGCACCTTGGGTGGGAGATGTGGTACTGTAGCTCCGGGGTCTTGTGGTGCGGCACGTTTGCGACGCCAGCTCTAATCCCTGGCGCTGAGCTTGGCTGGGTTGCAGGTGATGTCACTGTGGGAATGGTAAATTCTGAGGAGTTTTCCCATTGCTTAACAAAGTTTTTAAAAAAGGGCAAGAGTATTTTCAAGTATTTCAGATTCCTAATCGAAGGAAAGTTAACGCGTAAGAGATCCTGGGAGCCAAGTTCATGACATAAGGAGAAGTCCTCGACTCCTCTGAAGGCATCTGTCTCAGGTTGGGCACTGAGTGCTGAGACAGCCAAGGTTACGTCAGTCAGAAAAGCTTTGCTGGGTACTTCAGGTGCCGTGATGCTTTGTGAGGCTGAACTGTACCTAGGGACCTGCTTAAATACTTTGCTCTAACGCATCTGCTTCATTGTAGCTGTGGGGACTATAATCGACATGAAGACTGCTTTCTTGATCATCTTCCTCTGGGCTTTAGCCTACGCTCACCCTGTGAGTATCTGTTGTGCAAATATTCAAACCCTAGCCCTCAGCATTTTAACATAATTGAGGCACGCTGTACGACTTCTGTTCATTCATAAGATGTTTCCTCGATGTCTTTAGGTGCCCAACCACATGTCTGCTCATCCCAGGAGCTCTGCCAAGCTGGAGGTAAGCCAGTTACCTGCAGTTTTTCAGCTGGAAGCAGCCTGTAAAGTAATCTGTGTCAACTGCAGTGAATCGTACTCGGAAGAGTCGCTTAAGTGACGAGCTGCCGCTCCTTGGCGTCTTTGAGCTGTACCCATTTATCCACGGTCTTGTGCAGTTAGAATGGTTTCGACTCGTTCTACAAGCGTCCATAGACCTCCATCCCTCTAATAGAGGGGGTTATTGCCAGCCGATAAATGTGTGCCCAGAGCTGCGCACTATCCGGTAACCTGTTCCTTGAGGAGTTGTACCTAGGCTGAGCCTGCCTGAGTTCAAAGATCTGCCAGTTCGATTAAATGACCCTCCTTTACTGCCAGAATAGAGCGCGCTCCCTGGCAGTCACGGTGGTGCAAGGCACAGAGCAATTCAGCTGCTTCTGTGGGTTTGAAGCGTTACAGCCTTCATGCTGCTATTTCTTCCTGCTGCAGGGCTAAACGGGACCTTTCTGGTCCAGAACAGGAAGTAGTATATATTCTCAATTCATCTGACTTGTTACACTGTGTTGGTTCTAAATAATGGAACTTCTGTGCTCCAAGCCACCGTAGTTTGGGCTTTTCAGAGTTCAAAATCTTCTTATGCTTTTGCATATCTCTACAGTGACATTGAAGATTACAGTCCTAAATGATAGCTAGCCGTAATTAAGAAAGATTGTTGCTTTTTAATGAATTTAGTCATCTGAGGGTAATAAAAACAGTCTTTAATTTTTATCAAACAAAATTTGTTTCTGTAGAAAAACCTTACAGAACTATTTCAAAGTGCATGTGCTAGAAATCATAAAATGCATCTGTGCCTATATCTTCTCAATACAGTAAAGGTGGCAAAATAAAACGGGGTGCTTTTCGCTAGTGATTTTTTTCTTGCATCATCAAAAACAACTGAAAGGTTGAGTCATGAGCAGTTAAGAAGGCCTTCAGTGCTTACAGTACTTAGGAGCCGTGTGTTGTCTTACAGTAGTGTCAGTAAACGTGCACTAACATTTAATTCATCAAAAATACTTTATAATGTTTTGCATGCAGGACACAGTGAGTGAAGACAATATGAACGAGCTGGCCGACTGGGATGACGGACAAGATAGAAGCCCTCATGCCAGTAGAGAAAGGGGAGACATAGATGTTGCGGGGGACTCTCATGATCCTGCAGACGGAAATGATGTTGATGAAGAGATTGCTGAGCACAACGGTGGTGCTGAGAGAATCAGAATTAGGGAGGCTCAGCATAAGAACTGGGTCGATCATGAGGACACTAGTGACCTGGATGAGGTAGAAGACCAACATGAAAATGGCCTTGGCCAACACCTGGATGAGAAGCGTTTCCTGGTGAGTCTCCTGAGCTCTTTTCTATTGAGACCACACGCGTGAAAGGTAAAACTCTTGTTCTGCCAGTTGTCTGCCAGGAAAACATCTTAAGCAGTAAGCGTGCAGTTCCATTACAGATGTAGCACAGACCATTCGTTTCAAGAGCATATTTTCTTACTGGATCAGATGCTGTTTTCAGCTAAGGACTGTGAGAGAGGGAGCAAGATTTTGCTGACTTGCATCGAATTAAGCCTTACTTAGCAAATCGTTCCCCTGGGTTCGATATAAATACCCACAGTGAGATTTAACTCATCATAAATACAAACGTGCAAGAATCTGACCCTAAATCTGATCTCACTTCAGTGAACGGAGTTCTTGGACTGTCAACTTGAACTGGACTTAGGATTGAAAGTGAGGATTTTGATAATTATACGGCGCTTCAAAAAGAGGAGGATTCCTGGCCTGCTTTGAGCTGATTTGTGGCACGCACCGTCCTCCGTTCATGCTTCACATAGCTAATATAACGTATCTGATTAGATCAGTGAGCTTTTAGGGAGTATATTTCATGATTTCTGAAGTATCAGAAGGAGTAACGCAACCATAACCATTCTATTTGATCGTAACAGCTTTTGTCTGTTAGATTTACATTTTAATGGATACTGGGCCAAATTATTTCCAAAGCTACATTTCTTCAGGGCTGCAGGTTTTTCTAGACCGGCACTGGCGCAAGTCAGAGTAACGCTTAGCATGCACAGTGAAGGATACTGATAGTGCCTGTGAAATACCAACCTTTGCAGTAATTTCGGTTTGTCACATCTACAGGAGGAGGATGTGCACGATGCTGACAACGGTGACCAGGGAGAGCGCTATGGCGCCGAAAGCCATGGGTCCAAACGTTACGACGTGGGAGACAACAGGCTTCTCTACAGACCCACTGGATTCTTCCCCAGAGGGGGCTACAGGGGGAGAAGTGACTTGGTAGATGAGGAGGACGACAGCGGAGATGATACTTTTGATGAGGACGAGGGAGAGGAGAAGGGCGAAGGCCCTACTTACACCGTTCGCCCCAATGAAGCAGGTGAACACGACACGTTTGGTGATAATGACCAAAATGGTGGCCGCAGGGATACCGGTATGAGCAGAAGACCACACGACGACAGCAGCAGCAGCAGCAGTGAAAGCAGGAGCCTGGATCACAGGGAGTACAAAAACTACATTGCCAGCAGGTATGGCCGAACCTACAGAAGGAGAGGCGACAGTGACAGCAGCAGCCAGGAGGAGAGGTATGATTTTGACAACGAAGAAATGCAGGGCGATGACCCATCCATCTTTGATGGTTTTGGCAGCTATTCCAAAGGGCTTCGCACTGCCTTTCGTTCCAAAGAGAGCAGCCAGGAAAGCAGCAGGGAGGCAGGCAAGGCCGTGCTGAAGGTCAGCGATCAATCGGAGGAAGAGTCCCGCAGCGAAGAGTTCCCCAATGGGCCCGACGACTCAGAAGAGGATGACAGCCTGCAACATGACGACAGCGAGTCCGTGGAAGTGGGGGATGCCGACTCCAGAGAAGACAGCCAGTCTGCCGAAGACAAGAGCGAGTCTGAAGAGCATGTTACCAGTCAATCCAAGGAAAACAGTGCCGACAAATCCGGGGAAGATGCGGACAGCCGCTCCAGGGAAGATGGGGACAGCAAATCCAGGGAGGAACTTGCCAGCCAGTCAGATGAAGAGAATAGGAGTAGGGAATCGCAGGAAGAAGACTCCAAAGAAGCGGTCAGCAAATCAAGTGAACGCAGTGGTAGCAAGTCTGAAGAGGGGCAGGAAGACAGAGAGTCGGCTGAGGACAACAGCAAGCCATCCGGGCTTGACAGTGAATCTGCAGAAGATGAGGGGGACCAGAGCGAATCCAGAGAGGAGAGTGAATCCCCTGAGGACAGCTTGGAGTCAGAAGAGGACGGGAATGACTCCCACCCTGGTGAGGACGCGCTGTCTCGCAGTAAGTCAACTGAGAGCCAAAGCGCGTCCCACGAGGGTGCCAGCAGCGAAGAGGGCCCCACCACTGATTCCCGTGACGGTGAAGACAGCACATCTGCAGAGAGCCGTAACAGTGACTCCAAAGAGGAGGAACACAGTCACTCTGCAGAAGAGGACAGTCAGTCGAGGGAGGATGCCACAAACGAGTCTGCCGGCCACGGAGATGACAGCTTACCGAGGAGTCTGGAGGGCGAGAACCGAAAACGAAGGCTTCGCGTCTATCACGACAAACATGTTGGCGATTACGATGACACTGACTGCCAGGATGGGTATTAAAAGATGCCCTACAAACTCATCTATACTGGACTTCTTTCTGGCAGGGGAAGGAGTAGTTTAATTTATTTCCTACGTAGACAGGTTGAATTCTTCCCGAGAGCGTGCTGTGAACGAAACGGACGAGGGTTCGTAGGGGCTGACCGTTTCAACTGGAGCTTGCCGAATGTGAAGGGAAATGAAAGGTGACACCTAACATGTGAAAATGCTAAAACTAAGCAAGAAAATGGTGTACGGCATCAAACTGAATTAGCACACAACAGGAACAAAGCAGAATAGTAGCTCATTAGGTGCCAGTGCAAATGAGATCAGACCTTACTGAGTGAGGGCCAGGGCGGCACGCCGGCGGGTCGGTTCTGCCTCCATCTCTTCCGTCCGTTCTGGGAGCGTTGTCGAGAGCTGTGCCTGGATACGCAGGAGAGGACGGTTCCCTACGGTCACTGCTTGTATTTACCACTCCCTGAGAATCCTTTGCCTAGATCCCAAAGGGGACTTTAAATTAACTCCGTGTACTGCACATAAAAAAGGAAAGCTGTAGCCAGTATACGCACGCTGCATGTTGGCTCAGCATGCGTTACGCAGTGTATGAAGTACCACTTCAGTATGGGGTGTATGTAATATTTTGTAATAAATGTACAGAAAACATTTTATTGTACCCTTTTGCATTGATGCCACTTGTATTTCAAAGCTAAAACTAAATAATCCTGTTTATTTCCTTAATTAATATTAAAAACACCAGGCTAAATAGTCACATGATTCGAGATTTTATTATTCTTCTGTCCTGGCAGGGTCAAGTGTTGTGATTTGGGCCTCAAATTTCAAGTGAGCAGGAAATAAATCCAAGGCTATTTCCAAGTGGAGAACTGACCGCTTGCGATCCAGACGCGTCATGTGCCTGTGTGCTGGTTTTGTGCAGTAAAGTGTCTCTGCGCTCGCTGGAAGCCTGCCAGCTTGGGAGGAAAAGGGTCACGTTTTGGGGTGTCTCGCCCTCCCAGGCCACTCGGCTGAGAGGTTTGGGGAAGCAGCTGCTCCCCATCCCGGTGCCCGGGGAGAGCTGCGGTGTGCCCAGGCGCAGCACTTCACTAGATCATGCCAAAAACACGTGCACACACACACACACCCCCACACACACCCCCGCAGCTGCCTCGGGGCACTGCTTAGCGCTCCTGCGGGACCAGCCAGGGCTGCTTGCGGGGAGCCAGAGACGCGCTGCGTGCCGGGAGGAGACGTGGGCCCCTGCGGCACAGCGGGAGCACGCGGCTGAGCGGGGCCGAAGGGGAGCGGGTGGCTTTAAGTGACCCGTTAGCCTCTTGCAGTCGGCCGAGGAGGAGGATTAAGTACATGGGTGAGAGGTGCATTAGCGGTATTTGTGGGCTATTTGGGCTTTTCTGAGAAATGCTTTTTCTTCCCCTGCGTGCCGTATTTTGGGCTCTGGGAGAGGTGGGTTGCGGCGGAGGGCGTGCTGCTCCGTGGGGAGCTCGGAGGGGCCCGTTCGGCTTCCCCCGTCTCTGGGAGGAGCCTCGAGTTGCTGCTCTTGCAAAGAAAATGCATCTTTGGACACACTTGATGTGTAACTGATGCGTTTTTACCGTCAGGCTCCAGCAGAATCGTTACAGAGACCTCGGCAGTGTCTTGGGGATTGTGGCCGGCTAGATCCACTGATGAAGTCTCTTTTACTTGGCATGCCTTTTGTTTCCTACTGACAACAAGTAAACAATACGATATTAAAAAAAACCCAACTATCTAGACCCCCCCACACCCAAAACATACTATCTAGACCCTTCTTATTTGTTTAATCTTTCTATGGCGAAATATACAGAATAAGCGTGACTACTTACGCAAGGAAGACATAGGCCTCTGCTTAGCTGCGTGTTTTTGCAACGTGGAAGCGAAGCTCTTTAGTGGATGTTGTTAAACAGGAAGGCCCTGGCTGGTACTCGGGTGTTTAAGTTTCTTTGGGGGCGGTGGTGTGATGCTGGGCCTTGCAATGCAGCTACCAATTAGAGAACCGGGAAAGAAGCTAAACAATTTTTTACTACTTATAGCAAAACTCCACTTAATTTGTAGGTGCAGGCACCCCGTCCACCACTGCAAAAGCTCTGAGCCGAGCGGCTCCTGGTTTTAGATGAATTTACTTTCTGTTGCTGTCCTGAGCAAGCTTTCGCTATTGCTCTATGCCAGCTCTGAAACGTGCCGTTTGGAGGAGGGGGTTGGTGGCCCCTGCCACGGCATCGCGCCACGGCGGGGGTCCGTGTCGCGGCAAGGGTGACAAGCGCTCGGCGGCAGCCGCTTTGCAGCCCCTTCTCTTTGGATCTCTTGTGTTAGTTACGTGAAGGACGGGGGATGCTGCGGTATCGACAGTACCGGTCGTGGTAGCAGGCATCAGAAAGCTGGTGCTCAGCCCCACGCCTGGCATAAAAGGCAGCAAATACAAGCTTGGCTGCAGCCCCAGTATGCGAAAAGGGCTGGGTGAATACTATTGCTGTGGTTAAAATTACGGTAATAACGTGTTTGCTCTCTTTTCTGCGTTGTGATTTCAGGGTAGGATGCTGCGCTGTGAATTCCCGCGCGTCCAGCAAGCGGTGCTGCTGCTCAGCTCCACGGCACACTTCCCAGCATGGGTTTTACTCTGGGTAAACGCCCGGCAGCAATGAAAGGTAACACCGGGACTGAGCGAATCACACGGGGAGCCTTCTCCTTTCGCGAATCTCCTCGAAAGCAAGCAGTAGTGCCAAAAGCCCTGCGGCGAGCCCCCTGCAACGCCCAAAGGGCTGCGGCGAGGCCGGGCTGGCCACACGGCGACGTGGCACGGGCAGGCGATGCGACGGGGCCCAGGCGCTGGGAGGGCCCGGGGGTGCCGGAG